TGGTGGCTAGTTCAGAGGGCCAGAGCAGGGTTGACCTTGGTAGGGCTGAGGATGGCTAAGGGCTGGGAACATGACAGATTTCAAGCCATCAGCCCAAGAGATTTAGTGGATCAGACTAGGCACCTCGGGGCCCCAGAGCACTGCCCATTTATTGTGGTGCCTCAGCCTGCGGCTGCAGCTGCCCTACTGGTTTCATGATCTTCCACTGACTTCAGACGTTCAGTTGAATCACAGAGAGAGGGTTTTTAGAATTATGTCTGCATTTGTCTGCCTGTGCTTGGTCAGTGATGTCTCATCTTTAAAGATGCCTTTAGCTTCAATATCACGGAGGGTTCTGCCTACATTTTCCTCCATGTAACTTATGGATTCAGATCTCATATTGAAGTCTTTAAACCATTTTTTATCTGACTTTTGTGCCTGGCATTAGACAGAGGTCTGAGTTCTTTTTTTTTTTTTTCATGTAGTGGCCCATTTTTCCCAGCACCACTTGTTGAAGAAGCTTTCCTTGCTCCACTTCACATTTCTTGCTCTTTTATAAACAAATGGGACTACATTAAACTAAGAAGCTTCTGTACCTCACATGAAACAGTGACCAAAATACAAAGATAGCCCATGGAATGGGAAAATTATTTATCTAATACCTAAATAAAAGGTAAAGGTAAATAAATAGGTATTTATCCAATACCTATCCAATACCTATTGGATAAAAATGATTTATCCAATACCTATCCATAACTTGTATAAATTATTTATCCAATACCTGGCTGTCCTCGCCGGGGCCCCTTGGAGGGGAGCGGGTTGAGCTTTCCTTCCCGCCCCGACCAGGGCTCCAGCAGCCGAAGGACCAGCCACCAGCATGTTGAGACCACTCTCCACACACCGAAGGTACCGACAGAGGAACAAAGGCAAGCGGGTCCCGGGGCTGAGATCTCCAAGCCTACTCCGATCAAGGCTGAGCATCCTCCACCCAGATCCTCCAAATTCCAGTAGGCAGGGGTCACACCCACCAACTGGCCCCCTGGCGCCGTGTAATCCCATCAACAGCCAAGACTCAGAGACTATAAAAACCAGCTCCCGGAACCGCACCACGTGACCGTGCGACATCTTATTATGACATCTTATTATCTCATTCCTACTTTGGACAAACTGGCAGGCTACCGAATGTAACCTGCCCACACGGCAGAGTCTGGCAAACTCGCCGTGGCGTACCCAATATGCCAAATACCAGTAACAATGATGGGTCTCATTCTCCTAAAGAGCCTTGAATATAGCACTTTCTTAAAAATCTCAGGGCTAGGATGAAGGAGACGTTACTGGGGCCTGCTCGAGGCAATTGACGAAAAACAGGATGGTTGTCTTGATACCTATCAGATAAGGGATTAATATCCAAGATATATCAGGCACTGGTAAAACTTCACAAGAAAAAAAAAATCAACCCTATCAAAAAATGGGGAGAAGAAATGAACAGAAACTTCCTCCAAAGAAGAAATTCAAAATGGCAAAAGGCACATGAAAAAAATGCTCTAAATTGCTAATGATCAAGGAGATACAATCAGAACAACAATGAGATATTTCACACCACAGAGACTGGCTTACATCAAAAAGAACAACCAATGCTGGCGCGGATGTGGGGAGAAAGGAACTCTCATTCATTGTTGGTGGAATGTCAACTGGTCCAGCCTTTTGGAAAACAATATGGGTGTTTCTCAAAAAACTAAAAATTGAGCTTCCATGTGATCCAGTAATACCACTTCTGGGAATATACCCTAGAGACACAAAAAACACACAGCAGAAATGCAATCTGCACTTCTATGATCATTGCAGCACTATTCACAGTAGCCAGAAAAATCTAAACAACCCAAATGTCCAAGAATAGCCAACTGGTTAAAGGAACTATGGTACATCTACACAGTGGAATACTACACAGCTGTTAAAGAAAAATGAAGTTATAAAATTCGCTTATAAATGGATGGACATGAAGAATATGGTACTGAGTGAAATGAGTCAGAAGGAGAGGGACAGACAGAATGATGTACTCATTTGTGATATAGGGGAAAACAAACAAAGCATTAGACTAATACCCAAGGACAATAGGAATATTGGTTCATGGTGAAGCCTGCCTCAAGAGATGGAAGAGAAGGCAGTTAAGATAGAGAAGGAACCACTGTGACAATGATAACTGGAAATGATCACTCTGGGTGAAAACTGGGTGCTGCGGGACAGATAGATTGCACCATAGCTGGAAGCCTGCCTCATGAGCAAAGGGAAGAAGGCAGCTGGAATAGAGACGGGATCACTAAGAAAATTATGGCTGGAGGAATCGGTCGGGATGGGAGATGTGTGCAGAAAGTAGATAAAGGACCAAACATGATAACCTCTCAGTGTCTGTATTGCAAATCATAATGCCCAAAAGTAGAAAGAGAGTATGGGGAATAATGTCTGCCATGGAGTCAGGGGGAGGGTGGGAAAGGAGGGGTATACCAGGGATATTAGTGGTGGGGAATGTGCACTGGTGGAGGGATGGGCGTTTGATCATTGTGTGATTGTAACCCAAACATGAAAGCTTGTAACTATCTCATGATGATTCAATTAAAAAAAAAAACTGTGTTCTGAAAGTAGGTAAAGGGACCAAACAAGATAACCTCTAAGTACCTGTATTTCAAACCATAATGCCCAAAAGGAGTGTGTGTGTGTGTGTGTGTGTGTGTGTGTGTGTGTGAAAGAGAGAGAGAGAGAGAGAGAGAGAGAGAGAGAGAGAGAGAGAGAGAGAGATACCTGTTATATGTTATTGGGGCAGGCTAGGGCTAGGAGTTGGTGGGAGGGATACTGGGGACATTGGTGGTGAGAAATGTACATTGGTGGAGGGGTAGGTAATGGAACGTTGTGAATGAAACCCAATCTTGAACAGCTTTGTAACTGTATCCCTCTTGGTGATTAAATTAAAAAGTTTTAAAAAAGAAAAAAAAACATAGGTATAATTCTCCATGACAATGAAGCTAAAGGCTTCAATGCTTGTTATTTTAAAGGACCAGGAGGTAAGTGCCAAAGAGATAGCACAGGAGTCAAGTAGTCAAAGACACATGCTTTCATGGGTGCTCTCATTCAATCTCCTAGTGACCCACAAACCCCTACTAATGGGTGACTCTTGTGGTCTCCTGCTAGGGTGGTACAACACCATTACTCACACAGCACAGCATAGCCCTGGTTATGAACCATTTAGTCAGAGTGGCTAACGTTTTACAGAAGTGGCACTGAGGCCTCTGATCATTGCTTACCAGGTTTGGAGAAATAGCACAGCGGGTAGGACATTTGCCTTGCACGCAGCCGACCCGGGTTCGATTCCTAGCATCCCATATGGTCCTCTGAGCATTGCCAGGAGTGATTCCTGAGTACAGAGCCTGTGCATTGCCGGGTATGACCTAAAAAGAAAAAAAATCGTAAATAAATGCACAAATAAATAAAGAACCAAGGGCTTTAACAGGCCTTAACCTTAATCTTACTCAGGAGAAAACTGGTTCCATCTCTGTCTTAAGGACTTTTGGTGGGCCCCCAACCTGTGCTAAGGGTGACAAGGGGCCACTCCCAGCAATATTCAGTGATGTAGTACTCCTCCAGTCCAAAGGTGCTGGAGGTGATAAATGCTATACCTGGTGGTGTTGGGTGGGGATTCATTCAGTGCTAGGGATGGAACCCATGGTCTAACACTTGCAAGGCATGAATGCCAAGCCACTGAAAAGCCATTTCTCTGAGGTTTCTTTCCGTGAAGAACGGCATTTAGACACGAAGACTGGGAGGTGAATAGTTTTCAAAAGACTAAGATTAAGTTATACCTATTTCTCTGGGGCACCACACAGAGGCCAGAGCAGAGTGGTGATTTGCCATCCTAACTCTAGCTTGGCCTGAGTGACTTGGTGCTCCAGTCCTCACCTACAAAAAAGAAAAGAAAAGAAAAGAAAAGAAAAGAAAAGAAAAGGATTGGGGCTGGAGTAATAGCACAGCGGGTAGGGCGTTTGCTTTGCACAGGGCTGACCGGGGTTCAATTCCCAGCAACCCATATGGTCCCCCAGCACCGCCAGGAGTAATTCCTGAGTGCATGAGCCAGGAGTAACCCCTGAGCATCGCAGGCTATGACCCAAAAAGCAAAAGCAACAACAAAAAAAGAAAAATATTAAGGATTAAGTAAATATTTCTTCATTATTTGTTCCTCCACTCCCACCCCGGGGTGACCAATTCTTTGGGGACTCGGATCTCCCCCCCTCCTCAGGGTAAGCCCTGACAGGGTAAGCGACCACGTGCCTGGGTGCATTCGAGGCTCTGACGCCCGTTCGAGGCTCGGGTGCCCGGCTGCAGCATCTCTGGGGCCCCTTCACAGCGGACTACCCATCCTGAGGGGCTCCACAAGACCGTGTCGCTGTGGGCATGATTCCTCAGAGACATCCAAACAAATGTGGGGCGACTTCTAGAGAAACACGATGGGGGGGGAAATACAAAGCAAGGAGCCTGCGCGCAGCGAGGCGTTGCCCGGGGCGCGGCTCGGCTCTCAGGCCACACGGGGTGGGGGCGCGCGCGCGCGCGCTCCCAGTCCCAGGTGAGAGGTTTTGGCGGGAAGCTCCGCGCGGGGCGGGGTGGGGGGGGCGGAGGAGAAGACGGAGCGCCGGGGCTCCCCTGCGCTGCACCCCTCCGCTCCGCCCACCAGGGCTCGCTCTTGCCCTTCGGCTGCCTCGGCCGCCCGAGTCGAGCGAGGCGGGCCCGGCGGCGACCCCGCCCCCACCCCGCCCGCGGCCGGGGCGAAAGGGTGAGGAGAACAAGAGGGCGCCGGAGCCCGGAAGGAACGCGCCGTCCAGGCCCCGCCCACCTCCCCCGCCCTCCGCCGACGTCGGCGGGGCTCCGGTCGCCATGGTGACCAATCGAGGCCCGGCCCCGCCCCCGCCCCCCCGCCCGCCCCCCCCCCCCCCCGGCCCCGGCCCCCTGACGTCGGTGCGCGTCAGCGGCGGCGCGCGCCTGGCTGGGCCCTGGGAGCCGGAGGGACTGAGCCCGGGAGCCAGCGGAGCGGTCGTCGTCGCCCGCGCCGAGCCGCGCCGCCCGCCCGCCCGCGCTCCAGTCCGCCGTGCCTAGCAGCGGGGCCCAGCATGGTCATGGCGGATGGCCCGAGGCACTTGCAGCGCGGGCCGGTCCGGGTGGGGTTCTACGACATCGAGGGCACCCTGGGCAAGGGCAACTTCGCCGTGGTGAAGCTGGGGCGGCACCGGATCACCAAGACGGAGGTGCGGCCCGGGGCTTGGCGGGAGCGTCCCGGGCGAGGGAGTCGGGAGAGGAGCTGTTGGCCGAGTAGGGGGGTTGGGAGGGGGGCGCAGGCAGGACCCGAGAGGTTGGGGGGGGGCAGGATTCCGGGGCGAGAGGCCCGGCGGCGGTGCGCCCCGAGAGGGGTCGCGGCGCCGGGCGGGGAGGGCGCCGGGTCCCCCGGCACCGAGTGTCGTCCGGTTGGAAACCCGCCGGGGCTCTGCCTTCCCTGCGCCGCCCCCGGCGGCGGCGGCGGCGGCCGCGCGGAATTCCGCCCCGCGCCTCCCACCCGGGCCGTGACCCGCCGGGTGGCCTGGGCTCGGGGAGCCCAAGTTCCGCGTCTGTCCGCGTCTGTCCGCTTTCGGCGGGGGGTGGGGTGGGAGGGGAAGTCGCGGGGCTGCGGGGCTGCGGGGCTGCGGGGTGGCGAGACGTCGCCGACCCCGAGGAAGCGCGCGGGCTGGGGCACTGCGTGGGCCCCGTTGACCCCGGCGCCCCGGGGGGCGAGAACACCCGCGCCGACCCCGCGCCCATCTCTTCTTGCGCCGCCCCGCACCCGCCATCCCCTTTCGCCCCGCAGCGCCCCTGATTCGGTGTCAGGCGAGCCCTGGTCCTCCTGCTTGAGACGTACCCACCTAAAGAACTGCAGACAAAAGGGCCGGTTTTAGATGGTCAGCGGTGCGTAGGCACCGCCGGTGCCCGGGTCTTTTCTTGAGCCCCGGGTTGTCCCCTGGACCAGGTGTGCCTTATCTGGCTCGGAGGACGCGCTCCCGAAGAAACCGCGGCAGATTTTGCTTCCCTACTCTTAGAGACCTCATCCCTGGCTTCCTGCCGGCGAACCCCGCACGCCCCCACCTCCCCCTCCCCAATTGCACATTCTAATGCACCGCACATATTTTCTCACGTCTTTCCTACCTAGATCTCCCCCTTCCCGCCCCCCTATCCCCCCCTTCGCCGCCTTGCTTCCCCAGCCTCAAGCTGCTCTCCTCGGGGTCTCTATTTTAAGAGGTGCAAATGAAATACTTTGGGCTGGGGGTGTGGGGTTTGGATGGGGGCACTGGGTCGGGACGGGACGGGACGGTAGAAGCAAAAGCATTCTTTTAGAATAAGCCTTGAGAATTTTTTTTTGTTGTTGCTGCTTGTTTGCTTGCTTTTTGACGCACTCACTTCTGCCTTATTGTAGTTCCAGCCTGCAGCTTCATCCTTTTTTCATGCTCTTTCCGTTTTCTTCCTATTCCGTTTTTCTCCTGATTAGTGAGAAAGTGGAATGAGTTTGAAGGTGGAATAAAGTAGGACTTATTTCTCCCTGAATGGCTACTGAAAATGGGGGTGATTTTTTTTTTTTATCTGTTTCTGAAACTGTTGCTCTTAGAAGTTTGCCTTAACGTGAGGGAATCCATTTGCAAAGGAAGGGGCAGTGTCTTTGTGACATCTTCACTTTTGGTCGGCCCGTGCTGATCCCGAGGCTGGCCAAATCTGACTTTCTTTCCTTCCTTCCTTTCTTTCTTTTCCTTTCTCTCTCTCTTTCTCTCTCTCTTTCTTTCTTTCTTTCTTTCTTTCTTTCTTTCTTTCCTTCTGCATCAAGACCAAGGTTACAGCTTTTCCTTATGCAGATTTCCCAGTGTTGGAGATTTAAGTTGACGAACTGAAAAATAATGTGACTATAGTGAGATTACTAAATATTTGCATAGTTTAATCTGACCCCAGCATTTTTAAAATGAAGAAGGAAACTGGTTCCATTCCTCCAAAAGAACCATGACCTAATGCCATGCCATTTCCCCTTTAAATTACATGAAGATAAGGCATTTTTTATGTGTTTTCTTATTACTTGCTTAGTGACCGTCTAAACATCAAACAAGTTGTGCATTGCAGGGAACTTCCTCCAAACTTTACAATTATTTTGTTATTTGATTCCCAGCCCCTATGTCCATAGTATTTTTTTCATCATCTTTTCTTATCAGTATTAGTTGCAAGATTTAAGTAAGTCCCTTGTTACTTTTAGGTTAAATTAAGCATCCATTTAAAACTGCTTAAGTGGAACTGCTAGTGACAGCTTAGAGGTTGACAGTTCAAACTGTGTCCCCTGAAACTAACAAATCTTGTAGAGCTAGGGGGCACTGTGGAGTAGTTTCATGGTTTTTGGCTAGGAAGAGGGAGTGAGATCAATGCGTTTGTAATTGAAGGCATAGGTCAGATCATGGAAAAGCACTCAGATCCTAAATTAGTGTGTGTAGTTTTTGTGTACAAAATGACTTAAAAGCTAACTTTTTAGTTCATAGATCACATCTCCCCTGGGTTTTTCTCAAGATGTCCTTAACACTAGAAGAAACTGAATTTAAGATAGGTGATTTGTACTAACTTGGTGTAATAGGATATTTTAAATTGAGGATGGTGAGAAAAATAACAAAGTTATCAGCAGGACCAAAATTTCCTGTTGATCTCGAGCTTTTTCTTTGTGAACTCTTATTTGTAATACATATTAAGAGTTGTTTAGCATGCAGACACCATTGTTTTTAAAACTAGACTATTGTTGGGACATTTTGGTTTGGGGACCACACCTAGCGATGCTCCGGGCTTACTCTTGGCTTTGTGCTCAGAGATCATTGCTGGCAGGGCCCAGGGACTATACCGGTATTGGGAACTGAACCTGGGTTTGCTGTGTGTAAGGCAAGAGCCTTCCCAGCTCTACTATTGTTTTAGCGCCTATTAGTTGAGATTTTAAAGGGGTGTTTGTTATCTTAATTAACTGAATAAATATCTGTGTCTTTGCTGAATAAGACTACCTCATATACTAAAAGATGGCTACCAAAACTAAACTTTTATTTAACATCACTTTAGATTTCCATTACAGGTCTCTCTCCACCTCCCCTGCCCCAAGTTTGAACCAAAGGCAAATTTCAGGGCTTAGTTTAGACATTTATGATGAACAATTGGACCCTCCTTTTTTTTTAAATTGACTCTTTTTCATCTCTTGTTTTGTATCACTGAAACTTGGTGTGTTTTGACTAAGCTTGGAAAATCCAAAACTGCCTTTTAGGGAAAAAGAGTTAGTAGACAAAGGGACCTTCATTTTGGTCTATCAAATAGCTAAACATTGTTTAAGGACTATATTTACATCGTCATCCAAAGCAGTATTCTTCAGTAGATTTCTATGTAAATTTTGCACACAAAAGAGAAGGCAGGTGGTGGTAGAATCCAGCTTCCTAATATAAAACTCATAAAAGCTTTGTAGTATTGGTTTGTGGTTATGAATTAAAGTAGCTAATTTTATAAAAATTAGCATAATGGGGAAAGAATAATAGCATTTAGACTGTCAAAACTATTTTCGGCAGTACTGGTTGCTAGTTTGCTATGAAGGGAGTGTCCTTGAGAAGTGTTTTATTAATACTATACTAGTAAGGAACTGTTTCCTTTTATCTAATTGTATGACTGGTTTGGGTTTTGCTAAATAAAATTCCAGAAAAGCCATTATGCTCTCAGATATGTTTTGTTTTCTCTTAAAAATATATAGTCATAATATAGGACATATAAAGAAGAGGAGTTAGTGTACAAAGAAAACCCTGGCAACACACACCAAAAAAAAATCATAATAATAATTCTTCCACCAAAAGGGCTAAGTCATTTATAGCCCTATGTCATATATCCCTCTAGTCTTCTTAATGGATTTTTCCATAGATGAGATCACATTGATATACTTACATAAATTGTATCTTTTTTTCCCATTAATCTTTATAGCATAAGCATTTTGTTTATCTGTATCTTCATAAACTATCTTTGAGGTGTTTTCCTTGCATGTGGTGGAGTCAGGTTAGAACCCTGGTACCATATGTAAGAGTTATAGAGTGTTTCTTAAGCACAGAGCAGGGGGAAGCCCTGATCATTGTAAGGTGTGGCCCCAAAACAAAAACACAAACTTCATAGAGGTTCTAAAAATTACCTACTCAAATGGCAGGTGCTGGGCTACATACTTATCTTTAAGAAACCTGGAATGAAAAACTGAAATTATGGGGCTGGAGTGATAGCACAGCGGGTAGGGCGCTTGCCTTGCATGCAGCCGACCCAGGTTTGATTCCCAGCATCCCATATGGTCCCCCAAGCACCGCCAGTAGTAATTCCTCAGTGCAGAGCCAGGAGTAACCCCTGGGCATCACTAGGTGTGACCCAAAAAGAAAAAAATAAAATGAGGACATTTGAAAACTGTTTTTTGTTCACTGAAAAACCAGGAGCATTTGGGGACTTTCAATTTACGGATGACATCTGAACTTCTACCCTAAAATGTAGGTTTTTTTTTTTAAGCTTTCCAAACTGAAGTACTAAAATTGCATTTTTAGGGAAAGGAAAAGTCATACAGCATACAGTGTTTGCTGAAAAGGAGAACTGATTGTTTGATACATTTGAATTTTATATTTTGCCTGGAAAATTTAAGACTTCTCTTGGAAAAGCAATTTGCAAGTGATATCTCATTTCTACGAATGAAAAAATCGTCCCCTATAGTAGTTCATCTGGGCTAGGAATGAATGAGGAATTACTGCAGAGGCATGAGGAATCTTTAGTGGGTGGCAAATGTTAATGTGAACCTTGGTTGTGGTGGTGTGATCTTGGGTGAATGCGGTTACCAAACTTGTTGGATTGTAAACTTTAAGTAAATATGGGTTTTTTAATGCATAATTTCTCAATAAAACTGATGTGTTATAAAGGATTTGAATAAAGAACAAGTAATTAGAACTTTAAAAAAGACTTCTCTTGCTATTAATCTTTGTACTGAAGTATTCCAGATTTCAAGAATCAGCAACAAAAGGACTTGTTTCCAAATTTAATCACTCATATTTCTATGATCTTTGTGTATTAAAATAAAAATTGTTTTTGCTATGGACAATAAGTGGTTATTAGAAATAGTTCTTGGAACCCTCAAACAAGTAATATTTTGCAAATTATTCTGCTAAATATTGTTCAGAGTGGTTATACTTTTAGGGAAATGCATATGTAC